CAATCCTCTACATTCAAAGTGCCCAAAAGAAATGAGCATTAATTTGACAATCGACACCAGTCAAACATCATCTCCGTAATCCGTAGTAAGTACCAACGAGTACCCGAGAAGTGATTGATAAATTGTTCTTGGTTCCTGTTGACGATTAAACCGGAGTTCACTCTCAATCTCGAGTGAGCGATATTGAAATTAGGCTAATTGACCCTTTATCACCAACACACCCAAGATAGGGGTCAAGATAACTTAATTTATATTCTTACCTCGTTCATTGTGCGCTTGCTGTACTTTCGAGCTGCTCTGAGTACATTTCATCAATCGATATATTTCACTCCTCCATGGTATCTTGAGCGCGCGTCAAAAAAATGTGAATAACTTTCAAACGAACAACGATGGACTCCAAGACTCAGTTTGCCTTGAAAACACGATGCCCACTCCTAAACTTGTCCGTTTTGAAATTCCAAATAATAAACACCACGCGCAATGAACGACAAAACAGTACGAAAAATTAGAATTTCTACCACTTAGTCGATGAAAAGGAAAAAAATAAAACGGTAGAATCTTCAAATTCGTCGCAGTCTTCCCGGTTTATGTGTTAAACTACCTGAGATTTCGTGTTTTGACAAGATATTCAACGGTAAAGTTTCAAAAGATTTAAGGAGAGAAGTAAACACAGGAGAGGGCCTATTCTGCGCCTGTCTGAAATTTTCCTTAACTCACGTGCATACGCTGTTCCGTGAGGCCTTTAAGGCTGGGGAGAGAAAAAATCTCTACCAAGAGGGCTGTCGACGGTCAAAAATAAGGAGAGGGGTGGGGGTAGGGGAGTGAAGATTACTTTCTCCCCTCCCCCGCCCCCCACCCCCACCGTTCACTCTAACTGCAAATCAGAAATGACCGGTTGAATAAACGATCGCGAGCTTTTAGCGTTAGCTTGCACTAACAAGATGCCTGCACTGCAGGCTAGACTATCACAGGTAACCCAAATTAATTCACAGTATGCAAGTGTATGTCAGGAGCCCATTCTCCTGTGCATGTGTATATATACATAAAAACGTAACGACTGATGGATTTTGAATCGGAATTTCAAAAATGTTAAAAGTTTATTCATATGATAACGACTTGGATTTACTAAAGAGAGAAGTTAACTTCTCTGATTATGTTTTCTGGTAATTTGGGTTACTTTTGTGATCCTATCGTTCCAAAAACTTATCTTCCCATACAGTGAAAAGGAGAATACATAACCAATGTAAAAGCACTTGATTTGAGAAATTTCCTCAGAAACTTAAAATATCTAATAAATCCCATAAATCTCGAGGTTACGTAATACCCTTACTCCAACACAGGTGTCTAAACTTGTGAAACATCAAGCGTCCTCTTGTACATCCTTAGTCCAAAGTACATAATCGCCTCACATGTTAATCACTGCCTCATTCATTCTTCGCACGTGAACAGATAAAATTGACCAATCAGAAATGTGGAAATAGCTTTTCATTGAACTACGTCACCCCTAGGGATCAAAACAAACGTGGAGTAAATACATAGTAGTCGCGTGTTCGGACTTTGGTATCCTAGTGAGCGGGTTGAGAATTTGTACGTGAGCGCTATTTGGAGGGAAAATCAATTTGTAATGGATAATCTGTTGGACGATGTGGTACAGGAGGATACCTACAAGATCCACAACGATTTCTTCAATTTTTTGGATTTAACAAACCGACCGAACATACCGCTTATCGAGGAATACTTTAGCCACCCTAAGGCGCGTCGCGTGCGTGAAAGTAAAACTATCTTGAGTCCAAGTTTGTCTGAATTTAATAAAGGCATCAGGAACGGTCGATATTTATCAAGTGAATATCACAATGAAAGAAGAATACAGAATGCTTTATGGAGAGATTGGTGGCGTCAAACTCGTGCTCCCTTCCACGCTATTGTGAAAGAAATCCCGAAGGGCGAGGACATCATTGATATACGAGGCAAAGATATTGGCGATTTTCCGACTGAATATACTATTTCAGCGTTAAGACCTCATGAAATTCCTGTGGTAGGAACATACGTTCATAAGGACATAATTCCTGGATTCGCTTATAGAGTTCGCCGAAACGGAACAAGCGATTACTTGTTCGACGGCAAGGCACTAGTATTACGAACCATCGGAAAAGGTTATGGTAAAAGACTGACCTTTCACAGTGATGCTGTTGAAAACGATAATTTCTTCTGGTCGGACAGTAACCCAGATGAAGGCTTTGCCTTCTCAATCCAGGTAATTTTTGAAGGTGATAAATTCGACGTTTTGGATTGCCACCGCCGAAGAGTGGCAGAAACTCAGTTGATCACCGTTGGTGATAAACAAGAAATCAAGGAAGTTTCGCTTCGAAAACGCGAGATTAACATGTTCATTTCGGTGAAAATGAAATGTTCTCTCAAATTTGCATCGCTTGACCATGTGCCGGAACATCTCCGTGGTCAAGTGGTCGATCTACTAACCTCTGGACGCGCCTTAAGCCAGAAAACCTTGTCCGGCTGGAAAGCAAAAACGGTGGAAATTAGAAATGTGCACATTCCTGATTTGGGGTCTTGTTGCTTTCGTTCTTCCGCTTAAATATTTTAAGGATATTTTGATTCGCAAGAGCGAATATCTGGTAAGAAACCGCGACGAGTGATTACATAATATCTACTCAGTAAACCATATTCGCATAGTTTATGCATTAGTTAAGCGAAGTTCCCGCCAAAAAATGGTTAGTGATATCAAAGATTTGCAACGAAGTTAAACTTATTTGAGCAGCAAGGTAGAATTAAGTAAAACTACCAGTTTCAAAAAATTATTGCCCCTCAGTGTCTTGAACGGTTTGTCACTGGGAACCATTTATGTAATCCAAGTTATACCTCTCAAAAAAAACAATTAGTAGCTAAACAAAAGTTTTGAAGAAGTAACCATGGTTATTGTAACTGAAAGTTTTATCTGTTTGCACAGAGTACATATTTGTACAGGATTTAATCCTGATTGTCACCAATTTCCAAATCATTGGCATGGTTATGAATAATTTTGACTTAGAATTCTAAGTTTAAGAGTGGTAGGAAATCAAGCATGGTATTCATGCATATTATTTTTGGCTTACATTTAGTTATATATTTCGTTGTTTTGCATAGCAAGGGGACAGTATTTTTCTTTGAATATGTCATCAAAAAGCAGAGTTCGTTATATTTAACTATTTAATATCTAAGGAAGTATTGTGGTTATTTAAGACTGAATCCACTTTTAAAAATGAAATAGCCATTTTAAACAAATTATTTTGTAAATTCTATTTATTTGCAAGATTTTCCTATGGTGGCTGATGTTAGTTTTTTATACCACATTTTGTGGGCATTGTGGTCTCATAGAAACTTCCAATACCCATGAAGTCCTTAAGTTCCCAGTAAAAGCTTTTTTTTCTTAAGTTAAGGATATTAGAGTTACCTTCTCCTAAACTTGGAATATTCCCTCAAAGCCACTGATGAGAAATATAACAATGAGAAGAATTTCTATTTTCTTATGGTAATTAAATTAATTTAAACTGTAGATCATATTGTAAGAAGAGTTGTATAAGTTATTTTTAGTATTGAAAGAATAAATTATTTCTTGAGTGCATCCTTTTCTGATTGTTCAATTTTGAAGGAGTGGGTATACACAATGGTTGATGGAGAATTATTGTCTGAAGAAGAAATATAATTTGTCTTAAAGCATAATGTGGGTCACTTTTAAATCTGTGCTATTAGCAAAAGCTAAGGGCAAAGAGGGATACAATACTTAAAAGACTAGCTGAAAATTACAACTTGGTTTTGATTTTATTGTTGCATGAGTGTGTGATTAAATCTCGTGCATTGAAATAGTGATAAGGCATGGCTTGTTGGCAACAGATCAGAGAAAATTCCTTTCATGACAGGAACTTGAATATCTGAGGCAATTAAAAAGAATTATAATGGGGCTAGAAGAGAAAATGCACTGAAATGCCATTTTTGATGAAATCAGATTTTTTTTTTGCCTTTGCTGCCCACTACTGTCAAGAGCCAAGTTGAGTGATCCCATTGCATGGTATTGACACAGGCTGGTAAGTTAGGCTTGTCCTCTGTACTAAGAAGTGGCAAACGGTCCAACTTGTTGGGTTAAAATGAAATTACATACCTCAATATCTCTCGTCACTGCCACTGTCTCTGTTTTCTTCATCTGCCCCTGTTATGATCTCCCCTGGGACAAAAATATATTCTCCCCCTCAAAACATTTACTTGCATATTCTGAAAAAGTAGGTTATGTTGTTACAAGTGGGGTGTAATAACATAACCATGAGATGGCAGCAGTTTATCACACAAATTAACACAAAATCAAGATCTTCTAATATCGTGCTGTATCAAACACTGGGAACAAATGTTTATGCTAGGAAGCGTTGAAACATCTCTGCAGCTCTTAACTTTTTTCTTCTTTATTAAATTCCTCATGCATTTTACAACTTTTACATTGGTTAAATTACTTTTGCGATACTGACATTTATTTCACAACTACAATTCCAACGATTATATATTTACAAGATTAAAAATTTACGCGCGCTGCTCATTTTGGTTAAGAATTTATTTATAGTTCACAATACTGGCACAACCTCACTAACGGTATTATGAATCATTCACTCTTTCCACTCGGAAACGTAATTTTTTTTAAAAGCGAAGAAACTAGTAAAATAACAAAAAAAACAAAAACAAAAACAAAAACAAAAAAAAAGTTGCCATCAAAAAGCACCTACAGCTGTACTACAGTCTCACCTGTATTGAGCAGCGGATGATTACTTAACACAGGTTGACCTTTTCACACAGGCTTCGCTGAATAGAGGTAAACGCCATTTTATGCTATAATTGACCACTACTAATATTAATTTCGGGAAATAAACATGGATTAAATTTTACTTGAAAGATAATTCTTAGCTTTATTTGAGTGGTTCCGCTTTTAGTGATCGTTCTTTACAGGTGAAAACAATCCAAACAGGCCGTTACAGTAATCAAAGGAACAACATTTTGGGACTTTGAAAACCTACCGCCATAAAAGGTGACCGCTTAATACATGTTCGACTTTACTTTTTTTCTGCACTATCAATAATACAGTTCTATCAATGCAAATATATGCTAACAGCCCTAAAAGAATTGATGGTACTTCAGTTCCGACACCAAAAAGTTAAGCTGCGCACCTAAAAGTGCTGAAAAAATCTGTAATGCATTTTTAATGCACAGTCTTCTAAGATTTTCCCCCTGTTATAATTTTTAAGAGTTAGGATTGTTTACTTAATTAGAGTAGTTGAAAATTAGTCATTTACTGATCATTTTTGATATCGTGAACTAATTTATTTTTTTATTATCTTCTTTCACTTTTCTTGGCATATCAGCATTTACTGCTAGGGGACTAATTAGCTTCATCAACCCGAGTTGAAATTAAGTTACCTATAATTCAACTATCATACGCTGAAAGAATTCCGATTTTCTGATTGGTTGCTTTGTACCACGTGGTACTGGGTTGTGACGAAAGAACCTCCTTGAGGTCGTTATCGTGATGAAATAGCCGTGGTGTAAATTCACCACCCCACTGTCATTACACCATTTATAAATACCAAGAAAGCAACTGCTTAGGGAATATCTGTTTTGAAGGTGTTTTTGCGTGTTATATTGTGGTTTCAATCCAGTGTTTCTTTGTGCAGTTACAATTTAAGTAATAAAAATGTTAACGCACTCATTACTTGTGAATTTTGGGGATTTATCTGTTCTCGTTCACACACAATGAACTCGAAATTTTCAGTACAGCACTCAGCAAAGCTTGTATTGAAATTTCTCGTTCATTGTTAATGAACTCGTGCAGGTAAATCCCCATAATTCACTCGCTGAGTGCGTTGACCTGTAATTAATTACCTACTTTACATACTTACTATGTAGCCATAACTTCAGTGCAAATTTCCATCGTTATACTAGGTTATTTTGGTCGATCCTTGAGTTCTAAATGATACATATATTGTCACTGCTAACATGCTGCAATTTTCGCCCATTTAAATCAAATAAAAATGAACAACTGATCTGTTTCTTCTGTTTTCTTCTACTTTGGTTACTTGATGGCTCTGGATGTTTTTATAATATCTCCCATTTTCAGTATTGGCAAAAGTGATGGGAGAGGGGTGAGTGGGGCACTCAAGTCCTTGCGTTATCCTATTTCTAGTGCAGAATTTGCTGTTGACCTCCTTCTCGGGAGCAAAAATCAAACTCGTTCGGATCAGTGTCGATTATTTAGAGCCGCCGATCCAGAATTCCGTTGTAGAGGTAAACGAGGACGAGCAACGGAAAGCTGAGTTAACATGACCATATTCACCAAAGTTGTCTTCATCCACTATTCCCCCTGGCCTCCCGTCAAAATCACACTCTGCTGGCTGCCACCAACTGTCGATATGGTAACCAAAACTTGGACCGTAAGGAGAGTAAGCCGTACAATTTCTGCACATGTTTCCACGGATGTTAACAAACTCGTACAACGCACAACGAGCATTTATATCAGGCACAGCGAAAAAGTCGTTTTCAGCGAATGACGCGCGAATGTAATCACGAAAGTTGATTTTATCGGTCAAGAAATTACATGTGGCACGCCAGTGAGAGGAAACATCCCGGATGGACTGCATACGGGACTTTGAAAGGCGGTAACTGTTCCATTCAGGCGTGTCTTCGTTTGTTGGAACGTTGTGCAGATAGAATGCTTTTCCATTGAAGAGGTCCTTGTTTTGCAAAGAGTGGGACTGGATCAGAGTCCATGCAAAACCTGGCTCTGAATGAAAGTCGTAATAAACTGGGAGGGAGTTGTTGAATTGGTCCACGATGTTGAAAATTCCATTTGAAGATGTTTTGTTAAGAATCATGATTTCTTGGCATGATCACGGAGGTAGAGGGTATTGACATCTGTGTCCTGTGAAGACTCGGGGACAACCGCACTCAAATCTTCTTTTGTTCACGTGACATATGTTACGACACGTGCCTCCATTTTGGCAGGGGGCGGAGTCACAGCAATGACTTTGGCAAGTTGGATCAGAGCAAGCTTGTTGGGGAACTCCCTACAAAATAAATTGACGTTGAATTACGTGTTTCATTTTACCGGCTCGAACTAGAAAGGTAGCTGAAATTCGATATAGTTGCCTATAGATAGCTAAAGACATAAAACTCGCTGTAAGGATAAAAGGAGTAGACTCGGTTTTTCCACATAACACTTAGTTCGTCTCCAGTGTTAAGTTGCGATCTTAGGGCAAATAGTTACTTTGAAAAGTGCAAAATTGTGATCTTGCAACATTCTTCTACGATGTTGAAAGCACCATTGCTGTTTCTTTTAAGACCCCGTTTTCCATGGATTAGGCACGCTCGTGACATTTTCCTAATTACATTCTTCCGTGGCTAACAACGCCTCATTGTCTCGGTCTCTTGTTTGTATTACTGTTACTCAATAATTCATGATGTTTTCACTTTCCTCTTATGGGAGGCTTTTAAAATAACTATCAAAAATTGATTAGCAAATCAGCTTTCTTACGTAACCTAAGTTCGGCCGCGGTTTTCGAGAAAAGCCATTCTTTAAAATAATATTGCTTTCCCTCTTTTCTGTTATTTGTTATAAAAGTGCTTGAGTAAAAACACAGTCGCAACCGTCGGCGATACTTCAAAGATGAGACTAGCCTAGGGCAATTATGAGAAAAAAAAATTCTCATTCCTACGCGGTAACGCTATTTTTCTTTTTTTTTTTAGTGAATCCTTTTATGACTTAGTGTAAAAAAGCATAATGTTATGTTGATGTTATTAGAACAAAGAAAATTCCTCACATTTTTGTCGTAATAATTTCTCACTGGCTCGTAATAATTGATCCCTTCCTTTTCATTAAGTGCTTCTGCTGCCAGTTTACTGTTAGCATCGTTCAGCTCACAATTTTGTGTTGTGTTCACCCACTTGAAGTTAAACGAGAGACACTGACAATTCGCCATGCAAATGTGTAAACATTGCTGCCAGCTCGCGATGCTCAATCTTTCAAAGACGTAACCATCAAAAGACGAGTTGTATCTTAAGTCGGTGGCCAGGGAAAAAGACACCTTTTCACATATTCCGTTAGTACACTGACTGCTCGAGGTATGAATAACGAAGATCAGTGCAAAGATGAACTGCCCAGTAACAGGGTGCCTGAAATAATCCATTAAGGCGTGCACCTTTCAGATTTTTGCTAAGCTTGCTCAAACGAGTTCAGATGGCAGAAGTTCTCCTTTCATCAGTCACCTACTGAAATGTTGCGGCGCTTAATTGGAGAATGCGCCTTTATACAGAAATTTGCCACTAGGTTTGTTTTATGTTTGCCTTTACGCTGCTAGAGGCATTTTTATTATTGATAATGACAATGATCTCTAAATTGGATGTCAAGTGGAGATGAAAGAAACGTACGTCTTTCTCTATTGTAATACAGAGCTTTTACTCTACCGTCTTTCTCGAACTGTTTACATAAAATTATATTCTCAAGAAGTATAAACACTGTTACGTAACTGTAACTCGAATCACTTCTCAGAAGTCTTAGTTACTTTTGCTAATTTTTGTTTGATAACTCTTTTTCTGAGACCGCGTTATTATATATTTTTTCTCTTGGTTTTGATCAGCCACCCCCACTCTATTAAATACGTATCCAGAAGAGAATAGCTTCACCTGAATCGAAAAATCCAAGCCCACTGCTACATCAAAACTGCTATTTCACAGTGGGAGGTAACTGTAAAATTCATGCATGTTTTCTACTTTTTTTTACGAACTGATTCCAAAAACAATTTATGAGATCAGTCCATTCAGAAAACTCACCAACTGTGATTAGGGGCCATGAAATACAAAACCTTGTGTCACGGGGATCGGACTCAAGCGTGTCAGATAATCAACTCACAGTAAGTGACGAAAACAAACATGGAAAGATGAAAAGACAAATATGCGAATTATAAAAAAAAAGCAGAATAAAAGAAGCAAAAACAGCACATTTCAGTTGTTTTCCACTTGAAATCATCTTGACGTCCCCACTTGTCAGACAACATCGTCGTGGACTTAAATCTCTTTCTGAATGGCAAGGAAATAGAAGGATTGGGTCTCGAAATTTGTCAAATGTGGACTGCATGGGATCAGTCCGAATATTCAAACCGGAAAGAATATGATAGATAAGGATTGGAAAGTGGACACAGCTTTGGAGAATGCCAAAAAACATAAGAGAATGAGATTTGATCGAGGCATAATAAAAGAGTGAAACCGCTATAAGAACGAAATAAACAAATTAAGAAGTCAGATCATTAACTCAATGAAAAAAAAATAGTAGACATCTGTCGATCGATCAATCAATCAATAGCCTGTGTGCAGCCGCCCCCCTACCCTCCAAAGATGATCGATTCTCTTTTGGAGGGTAGGGGGTGGCAGACAGATCATTTTACACCCTGTGAAACTTGAAAATGAAAGGATGGAAATCCGACCTTGAATCGAAGGAAAACCTCATGGAAGCTTCTCGATCATGATAAAATGCCTTTGCACATTATTTTGTTATAAACTCTCTGTTCTTTTGAGGTTGAGTTGGACGCGGAAAACGCAGGTAGGTGTACTGCTCTAGATCCTTTTTGGACGTAAATCTCTGGAGTGAGAACTGATTCACGCCTCTCGTTTGCATTTTCATTGAGCATTTTACTGTTTTATTTTAGTACGTGATACACTCCAACGAGGGAGTATCATTCTCTTAACTCTATATGCACCTGACCCGAATTATGCAAATATATCACAAATAACCAATCGATTGTTATTTAGTAATCTCGCACCAGTCTCCTCAAGCTCTGGGGCCTTGTAGAAGGCACTGGGGATGAAAGTGACACAAAACTGTTGGCGAGGGCACTTGTCTATGTTGAGGAGAGCTCTTTCTTCGATGTCTAAGAAGGTTTGTTTGTTCATAAAACTATATATCACATTGATTTTTCCTGCAATATTTTGAAATATAACTTTTGATCGAGAGGTTTTCAGCGCTAGCACAATGCAATGCAATGTGTTCATCAGTCAAAAGTATGTTATGTAAGTGGTTTTTCTTATAATTGAAGTTTTAGGGTAATCATAAATAGCAAGCATGAATAGAAACTGTTATAAAAAAACTCCTCTCCATGAAAACTTTTCCATCGCGGGAAAATGTAGCACTCTCTAGGAGTTACATATTCATTATTTAGTAATAAAAACAATAATGAAATACCAAGTGAACTTTCGCGCGAAAAGCATGATATCTTCACACGTGAAGTGCTTGTTAACTTCACAAGTGAAAAGATCACTTTTGCTTTGGTTACATTCAAAAATCGCGCTTATCATTGAATATCATGTATATAATTGTTTTATATTTCATTGGTGTTACACAATAAATAGTATATTATATGGCCGCTGGGAGATTCGAAATTCCTCCTCTCCTGTTGAGAAGAACTTTACTCATGCGCTTCGCTTACTTGTGAAATATTTTTCAACACTCGAAGAGAAATCTCGTAGCTCTGTGCAGCCATGTTATATCCACTATTTACTAATTGATTTCAGTAAATAACAATTTTGAACCTTGGGTCTGCTGTAGGTGGGGAGGAAAGAGGTGTGCCCTGGTTTTGTCTATACATCTGTACATCTTTAAATTGCGGCAAAAAAAAATAAAAGAGCAATTCCAAACACCCATAATTACTGGAAGTTGCTGACTCATATCTAATCAGTGACTAAAAAATACCAAAAATTAATGAACAACAAGATGATTCATAAATTATAAAGTTTTACCGTTGAATTCAGTGTTCTGAGGAAGGGTTTTAAGTAAAATTGGCTCAGTCATTAATTTAAATTGAAACAGTCATGGCTTCTAACTTATGATTACTCAACTGATTTTCCCGATAAACACAAATTGATATACAGTAAATGGTTTGAGCCCAGTGGTAACATGTGATAGTGTAGTTTGATTGTCCGGGTGAGTGTAGTCCTGAGAAGGACTGTTGTCGGTTGCTCCGACTGCCACGCCTCCTACATCGGTGAGACTGGCAGAAACCTCACAACTAGACTGACTGAACACAAACGAGCGACGAGGAAAGGGGATGTCAACAATCACATTGCTGAACATCACTGATTTACGAACCCCACTATTGACTGGGACTCTGTGCAATGCCTAACCTACAGCACCAACTACTTTCAATGACTGACCCTGGAAAGCTGGTTTACTAACTTGGAACAGACTCCCCTCAACAGGTGTCAACCACTACCGGCACCATGCAAACAACTCATCCACGACATTAACATTACAAACGAACCGAACAGAACAACCTAACTTCACTAACGGATCCAAACCGACCAATCGCGACTGACCTTCGCCACTTGAGTCTTACAGCCAATAACATCACGGCAAAACTGACCAATCAGTGTACACAAACCGCACTAAGTACATTCGACTGTCAACAACCTTTCACTTGACTCTGATGATGACTTCCGCTCAGGTTGTCGAAACATCAGTCACCACTACGGACAACAGTCCTTCTCAGGACTACACTCACCCGGACGATCAAACTACACTATTGCATATTGATATATAGTGGAGTTGTCTAGCCTGAAGCCTCATCTGTTAGCACCTGCAACAAAAATTGCATGAATGAACCTTTTTTTTTTCTGAAGTGGTTTTGCCTCAAAGGTTAACTGCAATTACATACCCTAGCCTGTTAAGTAAAAGTCAATTTTTGTGCACCATGGTCAGTTTAATCCACAAATTTGTCAGGGGCAGCATAGAGGAATCATGATCCATTTCCTATACAATTTTTTAGAGGAATTTATGTGAAATGTTTACTTTAAACAGTATTTCACACATCACCTCACATGTCACTTCAAACATCACTTCACACTCCACTTCACACATCACTTCACATGTCACTTCACACATCACTTTACCTCATCTCATGCATCAGATATTATTTTTGGTCTTAATCATGTTTCTGTTACAACCCCTTCATCGCCCTCTGAGTCAATATACCCCTTACTGAAATCACCTCATTTTGCAAAAGATTTATGTCTTTTAAATTATGAAATTGATGGTGAAAACCCTGTGCATGGAAATGTAAAGAAAAACCATTTGAGAGTTTAGCATATTGTTGTACCTGGATCTCGCATTCTTCTCATATTGCTTATATTTTACCCAACAATTTGACCTTGTGCAAGAACTTTCTTGATGCTTTGACTTCTTTTTCTGGAGTAAGCTGACTCAGAATGAACTATTATTGGAATGAGGTTACCAGATACTGTCTCAAAGTGTTATTTTTTTGTCTGTGATTTTTTTAAATAAAACTTCCTCCTCTTGTAGGTTGGTGAACAGTGTAAACTTTTGGCCATTTTTGACTTTGATCATACCCTTGTGGATGGCAACACAGACACATGGATAACAAAAATGCTTCCTTCAACCATGCAGATTATCTGAGAACATCAACAGAATGGTTGGTGTTGGACTAATATCATGGACAAGGTCTTTGGAATTCTCCATGAAGGAAATATAAGCAAGGATGACTATGTGAGGTGTTTTGAATCTCTACAATTCACAGAAGGAATGAAGGATGTTTGTCACTTTCTGCAGAGCCAAAAAATACCAACAATAATTATATCTGACTCAAACAGTTACTTTATTGATCACTTACTGGAGCGTGACTCTCTGCAAAATGCTTTCTGTGGCACTTATACAAATCCAGCAGTGTGGTGCAGCAATGGACGTTTAAATGTCAAGCATCATCATGAACATGACTGTAACCAATGTCCACAGAATCTCTGCAAACGGAAGGTTGTTAACAAGCATCTGGCTGAGCTAAATCTAAGTTATGAGCATATTGTTTATATTGGAGATGGGCACGGAGATCTCTGTCCCTGTCTGGCATTGAAGAAAGGAGATTACATTCTAGCAAGAAAAGGATATAAACTTTTAAAATGTTTGCAAGGTGAAAACCAGTCAGAAGCTAAAGCAGAAGTTGTTCCATGGGTAAATGGCTTTGATGTTTTGAAAATGTTTCAAAAGTTATGTGAAACTTAAATGTTATTTTTGCAATTTCAATTTTTTAAAACTTAATCACTTTGTCCCATTTTCTACCCTTGTACTTTTTATAATAAGCCTCTCCACTTTTGATAGGCCAAATGTTTTTCATTCATGAATTAATATGCAAGTCTCATAGAATAATAGATAAGGTAGGGAATTCCTGAGTTGTATTTATTGTGTTCAAATTATGTATGTGTAAATCTTATCTTTTTGGAAAGTTGATTGAGCTCAAAACTTTGAGAATCTTAATGTCAGCTTTTGTGCTACCAGCTAAAAACAACTCTTCTGACTTATTTATAGGTGTTCCTAATACCTAAGGAAGCACCAATGTGATCAATATAACTTTGTTTAATCAAATATTCATTTCAATATTTTAAGGCACTATATAGCTTATTGTACATGTTTTGCTTCAATTTTATCCTTGGTTCAAAATTTCTTTTCTTTTGTTTTTGGGTATTGTAATGTATGATAATGAGTTTGAAACAAAGGAAAATAAAATTTGAACCAAGGATGAAATTGAACCTCAACATATACATCTAATTCATTAAAAAACAAAATTGAACACAAATTACCCATCATCTACCCTAGGCCTCATGAATATTTGCCCTGGATTAATTCTGAGTTAATTATTATTTATATTAAGATGGATCTGATTTTATTTCTTATTTTTAATCATGTGACATGCTATTGTGTGTCCAAATGGAGAGCTGCTATTTGGGATTTAACATTAACATTAGTTAACATTATTCCAGTTTCTTGAACCTCACGATTAAAGGGTTCTATTTTTAATTACCACTGAAAATTGTGAATTTTTATTCAGTTACTATGGAACAATTCTACAAGAAGAATTATCTTTATCTTCCTTTTTGAGTGACCACTGATGTCTCCCAAAAACATCAAATAATTACTGAGTCAGTAATTATTTGATGTTTTTAATCTGTTTCTTAACCATAAGTGACTGAGACAATTTCTCTCTAAAATCAAGCTGACAATGGATGACAATAAAGAAAAATATAAATTTGGGGATCATCTGTTGATTCAAATTTATACCAAATTCTTAGAACTTACATCATGAAAATTGTATGGCAAACAATAAAGAGAACTACTAATGAGATATTATGAGTGAAAGGTTAAATCCAAATCCAGTTGATAACCTCAGGGTAATTTTTCTTAATGTCAACTTTGTTTAAAAGCAATTTGACTTAATTTCCCTGCTCCTATAAGTACTGAGAGGCCCTGCTGAGAAGTTTGTATATCTATTTAGTAATATTCTATTTTTGGTTATTCAAGAATTAGAGAGAAAAAGGGAGACCAAATTGATATTGACATTGAAAGGGCTTTTAAGTACAACCAATATTTGCAGGAGAACAAAAGTTTTTTCTTCTAGAACTTTCCTTAAGTAAAGAAATTGAGAAGGAAATTGCTGAATAATTAGGGGCAAAACATCAGGACATTGTTGTCATGACTATCAGGATCAGTGAAAGAAAATGCTATTGGGTGGTGTTAAACTGTGGTTTTTAATTAGATCAGTGTTCATTTGTTCTGTTGTGTCTTGAATAATGATAATCTTTGAAAGAAAACAGTGAAGCGGATTTTACTACTGTGGGAAAACAGAGCAGTATTGTTTGACTGTTTGCAAAGCTCCTGCGATACCTGTGAAGGGAAATTGTGTGTCTCTATGCTAGCAAAACACGCACTCTGTAATAAATATAATAACATTTCGTCAGTTGTCACTTAGGTGGTTTGCTTTAGCAGGATTGGTATTTACTCTGGAAGGATGTAAGACTGTCATCTTCCTAGTATAAGTTTATAATGCTAATACCAATCAATGTGCAGCTGTGATTTTGACAGCAGAGATCATTCCATATGCCAAAAATACTTCACATTTTGTCTTTCATTTGGCAGTGGGTTATCTTTCTTACATGAACATCTATTAAATATTTGAACAAAATGACAACAGTGACCAGCGGCTTATGAAAAATATGCAGTTGTTCTTTGAATTGTATTGTTTTGTTTTGGTTGTTTTGTGTTAAAGAAAAAAAAAGACGGACAAATGAGATCTCGCTTCGGGACTTTGAACTTCAATCCGTTATTTAACGCCCGTTGCCTTATTGTGCGGCTAATGGCATAATACATTAAAGCCTTTGATATGGAAATTTAAGGCTGCAAGCCAAATAATGAAAGTCGAACAATTAAAAAGTTACTGCCTATGATGCAGATCGCTTCACAACGGTTAATTTCAAATTCTATATTAGTGTAAAAAGGGCGATTTCATCGATAAAACTCCAAATTTAGCTGTTACACTTGACCGTTGGTCGGATTTGAGATGTTTATGATTGCGGAAGAATTAAAATTTGTCCTCTTTTCAGAGGGAGTGTGAAAAGCTTGCCAGGGTGCGGAGAATTTTTAAGCTTGATCAATACGAGATTATTCCGTTACATCGTGTAAATTATTCCTTTGAAACTTTAGAAACTACCAATACGGATTTTAAGTTTAAACTTTCATTTAGTCTAGATTTTGAATACATATATTTCTTTTGATGAACAGTAATTTCTGCTTTCGTAATGAGCTGGTGCAACAAGTGCTGATCAAACAAAAGTTTCTCCTGCCCTCAGACAAGTCAAAAGATCATCTGAGTACTGGCAAAAATTGCTCGCAGTTTAAAAGAGTAAACGATTGTTGTTCGGTGTGGGTGAAATCCGTGGCATCGTCGACTCGTTAAATTTCGTACAGCGCTGTTTGGAAATCACGAAGAGTTTCCTGCTATACGTTTCATGTCCCTTCGAAGGTAAGAAGTTGTATATATCGATTCTAGGATCGTTTGTGGTGGACTGATAACGTTCGCATTGCTTAATTTCTTTCATCTCCAAGCGCCCGCGACGTGTTATTTTGCAAGCTAGCGTTCAAATTTCAATGGAACAAGTAATGCAATGACAGTCCCCTTGTCTGCTGGAAATGTGTGAAGAATTTGTTGCAAGCTCGTGCTAATGAGTGGATTAATAGCGTTTCGTCTATAAGCTAATGTCGCCAAGTTCAGTTCTAACGTCAGGGTGGTACGAACCTTCGGCTTGAGGTTTCTTTGTGTGGATTCGTAGACAACGTGATATGAATAATTATTGAAATGGTTTCCTTCAATTCTGTTCATTTTAATGATAGAGAAAATGCTATTAACGAAGATAAGAACTTAAACTTCTCTTAATGTGTGGAAACCCATACCGATGAATATATTACGTGCTTCCTGTCGGCGCGTGGAGATAGTTTACACTGAATCGTTCAAACTCTGAATATGATTAGATATTCCGCGCTCACGTTGTTCAGGGACAGCCGAAATGTTGCCTGAGTTGTAATTACATTACTTTTCTCAAATCTGAGGGATATTCATGGCGACCCGTCGCGTTTAATACTAAGTGAGACCGATCGCTGAATCGCAGAGAGGTTGTTTATATTGTAAAGTACCTTTGTTGCCCTTTTAGTGGTTGTGATATTGGCTGGCAATGGCATGAAACATGCTTCTCCGTTTATTGTCGCCACGCTGAGTTTCTTTCTTTTAATGGAATCGATCAAACGTTTGCACCTAGGAGTTTGATGGTTTATTTTCCATGGCGGTCTCGCTGAAACATTTCTCGTTCGGCAAGAAGCCAAGAAAATCCAGCTTGTTTTTTTGCGGAAAACCATTTTTGTTGTTTGTTCAGAGGAAAGTTATTTCTTGCGATTTCCGCTGATTGATACTTCAGTCGTAGAATTTTCTTCGTTTGCGTTCGGAATTAATCGCCTTATTATTGTGACTCGTTATTTTTTTTTCATCTCCAATATTTGGGCGGCATATTTTCTGATGTTACTGTTTGTTTTTTATATTTCATAATACATATGTTTGTACTTAAAATCTACCATGCTAGAATTTTCTTGAATAACGTGGAGATAAAATTTTAAAAAATGAGCAACTTTTTTTGGTCAGAAGCTTTCTCACCATTGTCTAAAATTATTTGTTAAATACAATTATTCAGCAAACCTTTTATTTAGTGGCCCTAGATGACGTTCCCGCGAAATAAATTGTTACTTATATTTTGCAGCTTTATTTTGTCTGCTAAGATTAAAATTAATTGGAAGCATATACTTAAGTTCTAGAAATATCCATCCCACTCCTTGTCTGATAAAAACAGGTTATTTGAACTTTCTATCCTGATGTAGAGAACAATTTGCTATTTTGGATTCCATTTCCTTGTGCCTGTCATACTGTAGCATAGCATGTCCCCAGTAATGCAGGCAATATTTAAACACCTGAGAATGCTGATGAAAATTGAGTAAGGTAGTTGAGACTCGCCTAGGCATGATGATTTAATGAAAATGATTTGAAATGTAAGATCAAACAGATATAGAAGCTTATAATTACATGCATACTTATTATGCTTGATATGCAAGCATATTAAAATTTTTTTTTGAATAAACTAAATGACATTTATAAAAAAATAAGTACCTGTTAGTAAAGTTGAAGGTTTCATAAATTTTCATTGCATTAAATTATAGAAAGTTATCTTCAAATGGAATTTTAAGTTTGGTAGCCTATATGATTGTTGAATGATCTGTAGAAGTTATTCTTGAACACAACAGGAAAGCCATATTTTTTAAAAAATATCACACATTCCGAAGGTGATGGTAAAAGGTGAACAAGATTATTATTTTAAGACATAAATCTACATTACTAAATACAAGTCTTCAGATAATTATCTATATTCAGACTTTTTTTTCTCTGTTCTGTAATGTTTTGATGAGGACTGAAATAACAGATTCAGTGATATGAGAGGGATATCAGTGTCATTAAACATTATTGAGTTTTAAATTAATTTTTGAGGTGAAAATTAGTGGGCCAGTGAGCCAGTCAGATTCATTTCTAGTCAAGTGGTATGATAAAGAACACAAATGTATTGCTTTGGGAAAACTAAAATTTAATTAATTAAGCAAAGGATGGTAAGAGTAGTACTTTATTATAGAGAGGCCATGTTTTTACATGCATGGCCTATCAAGCTTATACTTATGATTATTAAAGAGCCTTTTAGATAGCAATCTGTTTTGAAGTAGACGGCATGTCTGAGAAGAAGAATGTTGTTAATTAAATATGAATCCTGCCATCTCTCGAGTTGTCTTGTTTTTACGGAGTCCCTATTTGCATCAGAAAAGCTGTATTTTGTATTCTTGGCAAAAAATCCTCCATGGAATCATAACAGATTTTCTCAGTAAATGTAGGTTACATTTTTATCTTTAGCAACCTCAAAATTTTTTCTTTTCATCACAGTATTTATGGAAGGTGTTTTTATGCGTAATTAATATATTTTTTACACAATGAAAAGGCAGTGAATCATAGAATTGAAACTTGAGAACTGAAAATTTAAATTGCAGTATGTAATGCATAGATTTGGTTTGGAAAGGAAAGAGATGTCATTCCAGAATGTGTAAATATTTTTGAATTGACTATGAAATCAATATTTGCATTTGGAGTGTAGTAGGAATCCTTAATTATAAAGTAAACATTATTATTATTATTATCATCATTTTCACAATCATTTAACTCAAAGGTCATAAGAAGATACTAAGAAAGATGCTTAAAGTTTGCATCATATTCTTAATTTTACAGATGAGACCTGCAACATATGCAGTGCTGCTGTTTCTTGTGGCAGCAGTGTCTGGTGTAAGAGGAATAAACAGCACAGTAAGCCAAGGTGTAGGAAACAGTAGCTTACAAACCAACCTTAGTACCACGGTGATGCCGATAACACAGGTCTCTACAGATCTGCCAGTCAATGCTACTGATACTACTCCAGGGATAAAGAAGGGAAAATGCTATGACTTTGATGTGTTTGTCCTGAATAACCAACTCAACATACCTTACACTGTCACATGCTGTATTGCTGTCCTCTGTGGATTTTATCTGATTTTATTTGGTGAGATAATCTTCAAACCTTATATTATGTTAGTATTGTAAGGATAGGAATAATGATCTATAGTTGATGAATGGTTTTAAGTACAAAGATAACTGTACAAAAGTTTTGCATTTAATGGAATGATTTTTCACCATCATGGAAGTCTGGAGATAGAAAAATTTTGAGATGGATAAAGATGATAACAATTGCATATTTCTAATGTAATTTCCCACTTAATGAGGAATATGCAGAGGAAAAATGATGCAAGAAATTTTACTACGCAAATCTAAGCTATACAGAGGAACTATCAACAAAAATGTGACTTGGTAAGATTGCTCCCCCAAATAAATTTCCGTAAAGGCCAGTGAGCCTTAGTGTTGAGAACATGATCTCTTAACCCTTTAACTCTTAGTAATGATTGACTAGCAACTTCTCCCTATGTTATCCATACATTGTCCACTAAACAGGTAATGAGAATACTCAAACTTAACAGGTAGAAGTTTTAATTTTGATCTGACATAAAATTGTCATGACCAACTTACAAGGAAGTGTGTAGCAGCTAGAGAGGAGAATAAACAATCAGATTTGGGAGTTAAAGGTTAAAGAATGTAATATAAATAGTATTTTATATAATCACTAAGAAAATTGGTGAGTAAGAATGAGGGAGTTTACCCTACCCAGCATTTCAGTCAAACAAAATACAGTGAACTTACATTACATCATAAAATATTATTCAAGGTCATTTGGACTATTTGTAATTTGGCATTTTCTTCATTGGCAGGTTACAGATTCTTCAAGTGCAGCCTTTTCCTCTTGGGATTCCTACATGCCACCTTTGTCACTTACGTCATCTCTATAAACCATGCTGACCTGCCTATGTGGGGTATTGTTGCCGTCAGTGCAGCTGTTGGAGTATTCTGTGGTCTTTTGACAATGTTCTGCTCATACTGTGGTCTATTCCTGGCAGGATTAGGTCTTGGATTTTTCATTGGTGTAGCCATATTTTTTGTCATCTCAACATTTTACCATGTGACTCTTGTGTGGATACCATTTGGGGTTCTCCTTGGCTTAAGTTTGATCTTCAGTTTATTGACATTAAGATGGCAGAAAGGATTCTTCATTGTGGCAACGTCTCTCATTGGTGCTGCACTGATAACAGGTGGTGTGGACTATTTCACTGAAGAGTTTGTGCTTCTCAATTACACCCGACAGCACATCATGGCAGGTGATGTCCAGGTGGAGTGTTGGGTGACGTGGATCATCCTAGCAATATGGCCTGTCATGTTCATCCTTGGAAATGTGGTGCAGTTCTGTAAAACAGGAAGAAGTTTTAGTCACAAGAAAAGTGAGTTTAAAGTCATTACAACAAATTACTTTTTGATGGAAACAAATAAGGATTTGCTTAGCAAAAATCCCTCAGTTACCCGTGATCTAATATCAAATTTCCCCTTTGATTCACATGCATTTGGAAGGCAAATTAATAGAAGAATCTATCAGTCATTCAAAAGTGGCTTAAAAGTTGGGCTCTTAATCAGTGTTGAAGACACAGTTGACGTAAAACAATAGAGGACAAAAATACCAATTGAGAGAACAATAAGTTTATGAGCTGGTTTTTTATTATTATATATGATTTTCATATATCTACTATCATTATTCATCAGCTTGTGATCTGTTGACTTGAACTAATTGACATGTCTTTTTCCTTTCAATGTATCAATAGAAATATCTTTGTCAAAATTTTTTGATTTTTTAATAAGAAGTTTTTGTTATTCATTTTGTAGGATCAGACTCTGTCTCTCTCCAAGGTGAAGATAAAGCCATGAAGAGATACCGCAGCCTCAACATGAATGGCGATGTTGTTGCTAAGGTTAGTGAACAATAATTATCTCTTTGAAATACCAGTTATACATTAGATATTCTTGTAACATTGCTTAACCCTTTAACTCCCAGAAGTGATTAACATAAAACTTCTCCCTACAATATCCATAAATTCTTTACCCAACAGGTAATGAGAATATTCAAACTTATCAGGTAGAAGCTGCTATCTTGATCTAGCACCAATTTCTCATAACTAATTTACAAGGAAATGTGTAGCAGCTACAGGGGAGAATTAACAATCAGATCTTGGGAGTTAAAGGGTTAATACATGTGTAATCACAACAGACAGTTAAAATAATGTTTTAGCTCCACTCAATTTCAACTCTGCTGTTGATTCACCACAATTCTATCTTCAAACTGCAATTTTGATATTCTCTAGAGGGAGCCTATTATGTAAAAGCCTTGTAGTGTCTCATGGGCTTTCATGTTGCTATCTTCAGTCTTAATTTGCTTTTTCACAATCGCAATTTGATAGTTAAATTTATCATGAAATCAACAAAATAATATTCAAAAATAAATTGAGGGGTTTACAGCTAATTGGATGGGGGTGTGAGAATAACAATCACACATATAATGCTTTGACTTCTTTTGTAATGATTGAAAATGATTGAAAATTCCTGCTTGACCACTACTGCAGGAAATTAACTAAAGAATTATACTACAGGTGCACTGTCTTTTACAAGAAAATATGAACTTAAGATAGTGCCTTAAGGCACCCACTAATTCTTGTAAGAGCACAGCTTCGACAACTATGAAACGCATAGCTTGTTAGGTTGTAGAAAAATTGTGGGTTTAGAAGCTCTCTACCTTTTTTCAGAGATGCTGACCATACATGTTCATACAATTGTGTTATATCCAAGCTGTGAATTTTGTAGATAAATTTGTTCTTTCCTTACTTCAAATATTTTACCAACTTAACCCAAATTTTTTTGTTGGAAAATATTTTAATTGATCCAAGGATAAAAAATGACTGAATTATAGCAAACAGAAGTTTTCTCAACATTACTCTGAGATGCATCAATAAAATTTGTTCTCCTTTTTTTGTTGCAGTCCTATTATACAAAAGATGAAGATGAAAGACGTCCCACTGAAGTATAATATTTTAACTTCCCAAAAACTCACTTGTGCAGCTGAACTAAGACAAGAAATTTGCAGTCTTCCAAGTTGACCATTGAGTTCTCTGTGCTGAATCTGGAAAGTCTCTCTGCTGATCATGCATTTTTAGTTTTAGGTTCAATGATTTTGGTATTACCTTAAATAACCTGTAGACTGAGTCTTTCAAAGCCTTAAAGTCTTTTCAATCATAACTTTTTTTGTACATGCATAGGTGACTATGATTATGAGACTTAACCGACAGCTCATCAACATCTCATCAAGCCCCTTGTCTTGGAGCAATTTAAGAATTGTTTTGCATTTCCTCCGTTCACTATAAAGCTGTGGATTAGTCACCATAATCTATGTGAACATAAGTAAAAGATGATATAATTCAGTGAATGACACAGGCGTACTCAGGAAAAAAAGATCTGAGTGCTCCCTATAAGAGCTAAACCTATGACCTTCCTATTATGTAATTTAGAAATGACCATGTTCATTTTACAATATGTTAACATGATGCGTCAATCAACTTAAAGCTTCAAAAACCCCTCACCCCTCTCTCCAGCAGCACTCTGGCATTATGGCATTTTAACTCAAAATATGATGTTAAAGTTTCAAATTGATTGGCACATAAGAAATCCATAGTTTGCAGGATGAAGCATGTGCATTATCATGAAAAAGGTGCCAGGGAGTTTCAAAGTAATTTTATGATTGATAAATGTAAATGTGTGATCATATAGAGATGATGAGGAAATTTTGATGCTGATAGACATGAAAAAAATAGGATACTTCTAACAGTTCATGTACAGCTTCAAATTTTGTTTACAGTCTAAAGTTAAATCTGAAACTATGAGACAAGGTTGTTTGAAAAGGATGAATGTTTGAATCTTACAAGTTTTTTTCCTATAATGAAATCTTTAAACATTGTATTATTTTGTCAACCTTGGTAGACAGGTTTCTTTTGATTTTCAACCTCTATAACTTTTATCTGAGATGGTTGACATTCATGAAGGAATTTTTTAGTTTTATTGCAGCCAGGAATGAATTTTATGTAATTTATTTGTTCAACAAACAAAGGAACAGCCAACTATGAGTGAGTATGTACAAGGAGTGTGGCTATTGATATATTTTTTCGTAGCATTATGTATAGAGTTAGATTCATTAAACTGTAGATACATTCCATCAAAGAGTCTGTGGTGTTGTATTTTTTAACCCTTTAACTCCCATCTGTGACCAAGACAGAATTTCTCCTTACAATATCAATACAATATCGAGCAGACAAGTAATGGGAATAAAGAGAAACATCAATTTGGGTATTAAGTTGATCTAATACCAAATCCTCAAATCTAGACTGACGAGAAATACACGGCAGACAGAAGGGAGAATTACCATTAAGATCTTAGCAGTTGAAGGGTTAATATTTGGGCTGTTGACTTCGCACAATACATAAAAATCGTGAATAATTACCTTCCAACAAATATATAGTCATCCAACAACGTAGAATAATTATTGGATGCTATTTGCATGAATTATGTGTGGGAATAGCAGACAAATTATTGGTGCAAGGTGAAGGCTGAGGCAAATCTTTGATCTGTGAGACTGACAAATATGGTTATTTCATATTTGATCGCCTAGCTGTTTTTTTGCAAAATATTCTCTGTCATTTTCCCAAAGGCGAGCATAGCCACAAGGAGGCAAGATGTTACTGTAATATATTGACGTTTAAGGAGGGATCTTCAAGGGTAAAAACGGAAATTAGGATTGGCCATGTTTTTGCTCTGGGAAAATAGGATTTAGGTCTCTGGAATTAGAACACTTACAGGTCGGATGACAGTCATCTTGCGCGGACC